GACGCAGGGGCGTTGCCGACAACGGGCGACCCGTTGACATTTCGAGTGCCAGTGACCGTAGCCAGTGACTACAGTCACTGGCAGCGTGAGGGCTTCAGCCGCCGTTGTGATCTGAACTTTGACAATCACTTTTTAAAACCGTGCCATCGATTTCGGGCACCATTCATCGGCCGCCTGTTTCGTACTTCCAATTATGTTTAGTTTGAACGCGTCCAATTTGGTCGGTAAAACCAGTTTTCTCGAAATTCGTCTGCATAACTCAGAATTTGATTCTAAGTAGCTGCTCCCACGAGAGAAATATCATTGCACTCCCTGCTCCCCATTGCAAAAGTAACGTCCTGCGTTGATTTGCCTTGCCTTTTCCGACGCATGTCTTGTTGCAATCGATGCTTGCAACACATTGATTTGTCAAAATGTTTGCGTGAGAAATGCTACGAGAGTTGGAAACACTCTTTTAGAAGGAAAAAAAGATCTGCAAACATGAAACTAACATCACACGAATTCAAAGAAACACTGCGCTATGGCTTTGATTTCTCTCCCAATGGTCTGAGCAAAGTGGCTTTTTTCGAACAAATTCAGCTTTGGAAAACAGAGTATCACACGATCTACAGTGACGCAATGGTTCAAACTTTCCACCAATGCACTTCTCGGTAAATGACCCTTGCCGCCCGCCGCGCCAATCACAAGCGTAAATTCGTGCTGACATTGCTCATCTGAGTACAGGTGCCACTTTTAGGCCTGCGGGGCCGCAAGGAGTGGGTTAGAACAGCTCAAAAGTATTACTTCTAACCCGAAGCAGCTGTCAAAAGCGTTAAGCAGACACTGCTGTCGGCATGAGGACGGTGGCTGCTATGACGATGGCGGTCACGACAGCTGCAATTGTCGCGGACTCGGGACACTTTTTGGGCCACCAAGAAAGAAAGAAGTGTAGTGCTGTTACAAAGCGTTAATAGCGCAATCTGGTCCAAAAAAGTCGAAATTCATCTCCTGATTACATTTTGATGGTGCTGCGGTGGCACTACCCAGTGCTATTGGTAGACGTATGTAGTCTTGAGATTTCACCAGAGTACGCTTCCGAAATGTGCTCAAGGTTGGGACACTCCCTTTAGGCTCGCTGGTTTGCATGAACTATGACTTTACTCAAAGTCCAACAGCGTGAACCAGTGTCCGTGAGGGGCCGGGACAGCTTTGTCAGGTGCGACGACGCTGGCCGCTGTGAAAGACAGCGGAGTTCTACGTCTGTCTCCACCTTCCAGTGACCCTCTACCTCCCAGCAATAGCTACCATCTAAAACTCAAAGGACCTGTGGGTGTCTTAGCTCCACTCGTCGGAGCAAACAAAAGAGATGAGCTCTCAGATCGCAGGCGGCGGTGGCTGAGTGCGCGACACAGCCCACACGTTACAGGAAACAAGTCAACTGAGCCCGCGACCCGGCCGCTGCGACAGCCCAGTGGGCGATGCAGCCCGGCATATCGATGTCAACACCAGACCGCCTTTGCGTCGACGCGAAAGCTAAGCTCTGCGAGAGCAGCGGGTGCTGCATAACTCGTGTGGGCGAGCAAGCGCCACCTGGCCGGCCGCGCGCTCCGGCTGATGGACGGTTCGCGCGATCGGCCGCCGCGCACGCCGACTGCAAACAAACGACCCTCAGCGGCGCGGCCCTAATGCAAATGGGCCGAAATGACTTCGGCCGGCGCAGAGAACCGCGAGCGAAATGAACAGATTTCAGGAATCCGAGTAAAGTTTGGCTCCACTCTCAGGAAAGCAGAGCCTGTTATTAAAAATAGCGTCCAAACGGAAGATGGAACGATGCTGTGGTGGCGTCAAATCCACTTGCCGGCCGAGTACATGCTCGGTGCCTGCTGGCGGGTGCTCTGTCATTCGGGACAGAAATCTAGGGTCTTGATGTAGCCGGATGCAGCGGTAGCTGGTACAAAGCATGGTGCAATCACGGCTGTCCTCTCGACGGCTATTGGGTCCATCTTGGAGACCAACAAGCTTGCTCTGGTCATCTGCCGTCGCGACTAACTAATGATGATGACCTTGGATGCATTTGAAAGCTGTAACAATGTGAGAAGTGGCGTATGTGTACAGAGTCTCGTGCACCATCATTGTTCTGGTTCATCTACGGCGTTCGCTACGCGACCACAGTTGACCTGAATTACAGCTCTCGGTGCGGGACGGGGTCACTCCACAACTACCGAGTAAAGCGTTATATATATATATATATATATATATATATATATATATATATATATATATCTATAAAGTCAACGTTGCTTAAAGTGAAAAATATCAGGAAACCCGCTGTGCATGTATTTAAGTCGATCATGTCTTAAGCCACCTGCTCAATGACGGATCCAGGACTTGGCCAGGGTGTCATTCAAACTTACAAGTTTCCATGGGCAGAGGCGCACGCAGGATTTCACAAGGAGGGTGTGGAAGGGGCAGAAAAAAAATCCGATAAAAAAGTTAAACGGGCCCATGCGCACATCTCATTTTGATACGTCTGCCTGGAATTTTTGCGAACATTTATTCGCGTACATATTTATGCATCTCAAAAATTTGACAAGGAAGGGGCACGTGCACCGCGGCTTCGATGTGCGTAGGACCCTGCCAATGGTTATTGGGGTCATCGTCTAACTGACCTCTCTCGGAAAAGGCCGTTGACTGACAGGCAACAACCGTTGACACGCGAAGAGTAGACAACTAGGAGGAACACATGATTTTTGAAGTGACAGTTTGATCACTGACAGTGACGACATTCACAGTCACGATGCATCGCCGATTTAGATGGATGTTAAAGCCTTCAAAAGTAGCACTTTTACTGAAAAACTGTAACGCACCAGCCACAAATCCGAAATGACACGGGCGTTCACCATAAATAGGCTGAATATATAGCATGCATGACCACATATATAGTATAAAAAACATGTCGCAAAGATATAAAGAAGAAAAAACATACGTTTTGATAAAGAAGGTATAGAAGTCACCTGGTGAGGATCAGAAATTCCTCCATGATAGGCTAAATGCCAAGAGTAAACAAAAACTGTTTTCTAAACACCTTGTAAAGACCATGGTCCAGACCACGTTTGGAACCCGTGTTCTTCCTCCCTCTCGTACCGTGTGCTAGATGCGCGCGTGCATGTTAACATGCGGGGCCCTGTAAACAGCGAAGAGCCTTCAGGGCAAATGGAAATCCGGAGGAGAGAGAGAGAGAGAGAGAGGAAGAAAATGTTCACATGAGAGAAAGAATGAGAGAAAAAATGTTCCCAGCTCAACCCTTGTTAAGACCTAAGCCTCTCTAGTTTCTGAGCTACACGCTCGCGAAAATGGGGAGAGGCATATCGGGGAAATATTTCAAAGTCACCCTGGCATTCATGACGTCATAATAATGCCATTCAAATCTTGTCATTCCATAAGCCATGTGGTGATCAAGGCCAAAACAAATAATTATCAAAACGTTCATATCTGGCGTTCGTGAGCGCGATTTCCAGACATAACGGCCGTCGATTGGCTCTCAATCAATGTTGTGCGAGGTACTATGAAGCAATCAAACCATGGCGCATTGAGGAGCATGTTTGCTGAACAGAGAATTGTCCTGTCTAGAGCAGTTTTTCCGCCCAAAAAGTATTCTAATAGTTATAAGCCACCTTGTTCTGTCATATATGATGCCTGCTTTTATTTGTCTTTTTATTGTCTTTAAAGGTGAAACCTTCCCTTCAAACGGCCCATGGTACCAGCGCACGGCCCGGCGAGCGAATGCGAAAAACCCGAGGCCAAAGTGAAGGACCCAAGAGCGACTGAGAGCATCCCGCGCGTTAACAGATAGACCCTCGGCAGCAGCGTAGAGTTTTCTAGCAAAATAGAAAAAAACCTGTAGAGGGCTCCTCAGAGATCAAGCGTGCCTCACCAGGGTAGCAAATAGGGTATCGACAAGGCAAAGAGCCTTCCGAATAAACGGGACGAACCTGCGGAGGGTGCCTTTATGACTGAGAGCGCTTCGGCAGGTACATGAATATGGCCTCCGGCAACAGGGTAGGGCCCCTGGACAGCTTGATTTGCCTTAAAACTTTTCCAACCACGATCCTCTCATCAGCCAAGAATCATTTTTGTCTACCTTTGGGATCTCATTCTCCACTTCCTCTGCTGAGCTTGAGGCTGTTGCACTTTGTAGTAAGTACCTCTATCCCTTTGGTCGGTTGCGAGTCATTCGAAGCCCAAGGATGGGAAATTCGTGGTCCCTTACCCCTTCCACCGGATTTTCCACTGCAATTGCCTCTGATCAAGCGGTATTAAGGGTGTAGTTAGATTCAATTATCTTTGTTTGTGGCGCATTACCTGCCACTGAGGTGTACCCAGGCTATCTGGAGCAGCGGTGGAAATGTTCCAGGGAATGGGTGGAGCGATTCTCCGCTTTTATCACATCAATTATGTCCGTCCATCACCATATCGTGAAAATCAAACCTCACTAAGTGGATGAATCATAATCCGCAGTGTACCCTGTTGTTAGACACATGTGGCATCAAAGCATTTAAAGATGCAAGTAGTTTCGCAACAGTGGAAGTGGTGGCTCGTAACCGGCACGTTCCTAACCATGGACAACAATTCATGGCAACTGCTAAGCGCCAAATATGATGCCTCACATCCTGCACGCTTGCGTTCTAAACATGTCTGAAAAGTCGTGGTTCGCTGGTCCGACGAGGCCACAGACCACATTGCACGACTTACGAAATGGCCCACGGTCAGACGACGGCACGGCTGGCTGTGAGACCACAGCACGGCTGGCTGTGAGACCACAGCACGGCTGCCTGTGAGACTACAGCACGGCTGGCTGTGAGACCACAGCACGGCTGGCTGTGGGATTACAGCACGGCTGGCTGTGAGACCACAACACGGCTGGCTGCTGCAGTGAGCGGTCGGCTCGGGGCGGCCCGGTTGACCTCGGTGACTGCAATGGGCCGTTGACCCTGGCGGCGCGGACGACCTCGGCGACTGACCTGCGGCGGAGGTTCGTCGTCGTCGACGGGGAGGGCCGGCACGCCGTGTGACCCCGGCGGCAGCCCTGGCTGGTCGTTGACGAGCTCGCAGGCGGAGCCATCGTGCCTCTGCCTGAGGACAGGCACGACGCCGAGGTCAGCGAGAGCGGGCTGGTGAGGTCACTGCGAGCGGGTCTGCCGGCCGCTGCTCGCAGGTTCGGACCGACTCACCGCCGCCCCCACCCCCCACCCCCTCCCCCACCCCGCTCTCGCATCTAATACCGCCCGCGGCGCTTCGGCCGAAGTCCGACGCCGCGCAGCGCCGGGCGCTGACTGTCCTGTGGACGCCATGCGCCGAGCCCAGCCGTTTGGGAATCTGTCCCCGCGTGAACGTGATCAGGAAATTGGAGCAGCGTGAGACACGTTTTCACTGACGTTTCGCAGAACTTCTAACCATTATCAAAGCCGATGAAGTGGCAAAGCGTTTATTCAGAAGCTGCTTCCCCGGAAATAGTCAGCCAACCGTTCTATCTGGAGATATCGACGCATCTTAATTGCGTTAGCGTCGCGAGCATGACGCATAGCGTGATTTAGTGGAGGGACGTTGGAAGCACGGACACCCAGCTGGTAGCTGCTGCAAAAGCCTGTTGATGACAGCTGACTGAAGGACAATTTGTTTACAAACCTCATCAGGGCGCGGAGGTTTTTTGACTTAGCCAAACACCGAACAAAACGCGATTATTAAAACACAAATACACAATGTTTTGCGCTGCGCGCCGCGTGTGTTACTCGAGCGCAGCATCCGTAAGTAACTTGTTTATCCGACCTCTAACGAGATGGATCCCATTATGTCTCCCGAGTGCCACTAGAGCATAATGTCATCGTGCGTCGGTGTTCCGCTTTTTTTCCTCATATGAGCTTGGTTTCGCTCGTGTTCCGCCAGTTCACGACCACTTGACTTCCAACATCAAGCAGAGCGGTATCGGAGACTGCCGCGCGTGGCCCCTCTCCATCAGTGCTGTGTTGACTCTGGCCAGCGACTCATCCTGCCTCGAGCCGGTGCATGGCCACCCCACCTCAAGAGAGGGGGAGCGTGCCGCCATCAGCGGGGCGCTCTCATCAGCCGCACGCGGCCGCCGCCCGCCATGGGCTGACCGGGCGGAGAGGGTGCGCCGCGATCGGTGGCTGCAGCTTGGACAGGTCCGCGGATCAGGTCCACACCGAGAGACGTGTACAGGAGCGTGTCGTGGTTGAGGCCGGACCTTGATCAGGTCGGCGGATCAGGTCCGCACCGACAGACGCGTGCAGGAGCGTGTCGTGATTAAGGCCGGACCTTGATCAGGTCGGCGGATCAGGTCCACACCGAGAGACGTGTACAGGAGCGTGTCGTGGTTAAGGCCGGACCTTGATCAGGTCGGCGGATCAGGTCCACATCGAGAGACGTGTACAGGAGCGTGTCGTGGTTGAGGCCGGACCTTGATCAGGTCGGCGGATCAGGTCCGCACCGACAGACGCGTGCAGGAGCGTGTCATGATTAAGGCCGGACCTTGATCAGGTCGGCGGATCAGGTCCACACCGAGAGACGTGTACAGGAGCGTGCCGTGATTAAGGCAGGACCTTGATCAGGTCGGCGAATCAGGTCCGCACCGACAGACGTGTACAGGAGCGTGTCGTGATTAAGGCCGGACCTTGATCAGGTCGGCGGACCAGGTCCGCACCGACAGACGCGTGCAGGAGCGTGTCATGATTAAGGCCGGACCTTGATCAGGTCGGCGGATCAGGTCCACACCGAGAGACGTGTACAGGAGCGTGCCGTGATTAAGGCAGGACCTTGATCAGGTCGGCGAATCAGGTCTGCACCGACAGACGTGTACAGGAGCGTGTCGTGATTAAGGCCGGACCTTGATCAGGTCGGCGGATCAGGTCCGTACTGTAAGGCGTGTAGAGGAGCGTGCCCTGATTAAGGCAGGACGTTGATCGTGTCCGCTGATCAGGTCCGCACCGACAGACGTGTACAGGAGCGTGTCGTGACTAAGGCCGGACCTGGATCAGGTCCACGGTCCGCGGACACCTTGTGGCGAGGTAGGTGGTGGGGGAGGGGGAAGGGGGGGGGGGCGTGCGGCGATCGGTGGCCGGGGCCGTGACCGGGCCCGCGACCGGACCCGCGGCCGGGTCTGTGACCGGGTCGGACGTTGATTGGGGCCGTGGATGGCGTGTCGCGGAGGTGAAGTGGGGAAGGGGAAGGATGGCGTGATCATTGGCCGGAGCGTCTCTGTCCGGGGGCCGATTCGGGTGGCCTCATTGGATCGGATGTAGGCCGCTGCCGGAGATGCAACGGAAAATTGAGAAGACGGCGGAGCAAAGGAAACGTGTGTGCTATTGCAGTGCTTTAATGAAAAACGCATATGTGTGCTCTTCGACCGAGACGCTAGGTGTAGGCTTAAGTGTTCTAACTCTGCATGTATGACAGTTTTCGGTGATGGGCCTTCACCACTGTTTACCTTTACCACTGGTGTTCGTTAAATGAGACCTGAGTTTTCTGTGGCATTTATTTCTTTCTTAACTACTCAACTCTGCGTTGTCATCCTGGACGCATTTAACAGCACCAATTCAAACTACAATAAAACACTTTTAATGAGCTTCATTTGTAACATATAAATAATGCAATGGCTCCTTATGATTACATATGGCTGAATGTTGGTATTTTAATTCCTTTGTAGGGCCACTTTGTAGGGCTATAATAGGGCCACTCAAACTGTCCTTATGAACACGATGATGATTGGGGTTTTAAGGCGTGCCGACTGCTAAGGTCACTTTGCGCCCACGGCCTTCTGACCTCATGACATTACTTTAGACAATTTATCAAACCGATGACTCCTTTCAAAGCGCGAGACGATGAAGAACGTGCAAGTAATTAGTTCGCATTCCAGGTCGCTGGTTGCAAGTTAGCTTTTCTACGCCAGTCGGCACTTACACGTGCGACCTAGTTAGAATATAATGAATGTTCAGGGACTAAAGTCAACGAATTGGGTGTTGCAAGTGTAACGGTTAACGCGCCTGCGTTAACCACTGCGCGTCTGGGAAACCACCGGTACACGATTGGATTCCCCGCGGTGCCCACCCTTCCCGCCAGGGTGAGAGCCTGGCTGAGCCATACAGCCCCAGCACATGGCTCTGCCATATGGGCGTCATAAAGCCCGAATGACACACCCGAGGTTAACGAATTATCTGTGACAAGGTCCACGGTAGAGCGGGCAGCGCAAGCTTATCCCAACAATCGGGAAATATTTTGCGGGACAGGAATTAACCGCACTAAGTTCCTTTAGAGACGGAAACAAAAACAGACCATTATATTGTTCACAACGCTAAGCTCCCAAGCTGGCTACCCACGCACCTGAACATTTCAGCAAAGTGTAAACAGCTGAACGTAAGCAAAGCTGTCGGCCCAACGGGTCCAAGCGATTTCAGTCACGGACATTGCTAAAGGTACGGCCAACACCTTTGCTACACAGTAATTGAATGCTGCTGGAGGTGGGATATGGACGGATTAAAAGATTTTATGTCTCGTATTGACTTTCTTTTGTTACTGGCCTGCAAACCAAGTTATTCAAAATGGCGTCTTAAATGATAAGTTAAATGCGGAAATGGAGCGAAATAGTTCAGTATCTATTCCATAGATGGTGTGATGGTTGCATGATATATACTAATATCTTATTTTAAGACTAGGTGAAATATTTGTTATTGTGCAAATGTTCTATTGTACTTGAGTGGATTGGCGGAGTTTGAGTGCCTGAAAACGTCGATTTAGCCGCTGTACAAGATCAGTACAATTCACAAGCCCCGCACTTTATTAAGAAGAGAAATATTTGCGTAATGCAAATAGACCTTAGTAATAATTACAATGAGATGAAATACAAATTGGTACATACCAACTTGGTCAGTTTAATGGTACTAGCAGCACACCGTTCACGCAGTCTTTTCCCCCGGTAGACGACGAGGAGGTGCCTAGCGCTCTTATTTGTAACAGATAACGATATAACAAGAACTGTGGTCTGAATTGAAGACGGGCTATTTGAGATGATTGGTTATTCGGTCAGCCATGAAACATGAAAAATGACATGACTCTGGGGAAAACCGGAAAGCAGAGAACTGGGTTTATGGCCAGGGCGCGGTACTTTGAGAATGACGACTTCTGAAATATAAAGGTTTTGTTTATAGAGATCATTTGATTCTTACACTTTGGACGCCGGTTGCGGAATGTTCTTTAATACAGTGACTGATATGTCTTGGGCTGATGGCTGCCTCATCTTTACACATGATGTTATTTTCTTCGCCATGCCTGCCATACTCACCCCAAAGTACTGCATAGTTGGGGGGCGAACACTTGCACTTTTCCAGACATGACGTTGATAGCAACAAAAACTTATTTCAATCACATCATGGCGTACAGTACTTGTAGACCGCTCGCGGGTCTAAATAATGAAACGGTTTCATCTCGCGAAACCCAGCGACCTGATGGTAGATTGATTCCGTTTCATAGACAGAGGGGCGTCTCAGAAAGTGGAAGTAGCGATTTTGAACTCGGTTCTTTTCATGCACCGCCATAGGCTTAATGCCCAACATTTTTGGAAAGGGAACGTTTCAACAGCACCCATGGAGCCCCACGTTTGTCTAGATGGTCCATTGCATACGTAACACACATCGAAAAGAGGGAGAAATATTTCGCAAATATCCCCGCGGTGAATGGACACATCTGCATAGTTTACTTTTTCGGCAAATGAACGACATCGTTGATCGCCCAAAGCAAATCTCCCAACATACGGCTGGAAATCTCGACGGTAGGAAAGTCGTTTGCGACGGTCGCATTACGGCCCGCACTATGTGCTCCGAGCTTATTTCTTGTAGACGATATTTTCTTAGGGTCGGGATTTTTCGCACATCATTGGTCGCTGCAGCACGAACCCACCACTTTACTTCGTTACTAACGCCTGCGACTCCCAAAATAGCCAATCAGCCAATTGATTCCTTTCATGAAATTGAGCTAGCGGACATAACACACAATGTGCGGTATTATACCCGCTAATGCAGAATTATGTCGAGTGTTTTAACAGCCCTATAACACGAAACGAGACAATCAGAAACAGGTCAAACAATTATATACTATGCAAATACATAAAAGCGGCAAAACAACAATCCATTAACTCGCTATCGCGTTTTCTGCCAAGATTGATCATCAGCTGCATCAATTCAATGTATGCACATTGCGCGCATTAGACATTTTACTTCAAAACAGCATAGCTAGCTAAGGAAAATAATTTCCTGAGACGCAGCGCATAATCTTAAAAGGGAATGACGCTAGCGAAAATGGCCGAAGAAATGCCTCTGCCAATGTTAATGTTGTGGTGCTAACATAAAAAACATGCGAATGGTAGAATGCCTTTCAGTGACACAGCTAAATGAATGTTGCAACAACCTCAGGAAAATCTCTGTGCAAGTCGTGCCATTGCTAAAAAAGTACTCTTTTATTCGTGGTGCCTAATAAATCAAAATGATTACAAAACAGGTAGTTTTCCTTTGTAAATGACGCATGGAACGCAGCGCCAGGAGTCGGCTACTTGCAGATTTGACACACCGTGTCATCAAAACGGCGCTGGAGTGCTGGCGTGCCGGTCTGCATGCCGCTTGGTCCCGAACCCAACTAACAGACTTGAATCAGCCAGGTGTTGCAAATCCCCAAGTTGGCGAGTTGTTTGGCGCCTGTTTTCGTGGCTGCTGGCGCTTGTCAGACGAGAGAGAGCGGAGTTGCCTCCACCTATATAGACAGACTAACGAGGCGAGACCATTTGTATGGAGCAGCGCCGACGCTGGACTTAGTGTGGCATCTGTTGGATTTTGATTGGTGAAGACCCGTGCAGCTAGTTTCAGTGGGGATTTTGCTGCGTGGCACAAGTTAACTTAGCGTGGTGTAATTCTGAAAGACTGCATTATTTGTTTCTTAAATTTATTTCTGCTGCAAGGCGGATTCTGTGAAGCAGTGGATTTGGAGGAAGACAAGCTGCACTCGACATTTCACATGCTTGTCTGAGATGCCAGTTCATATAAAATGCATGACCCAATTACATTAACTGAGGGGTATAAGCGAGCAGTGTATGGCCAAGCCCAAACGTAAAACTCTTTGAACCGCTAAAAATCAAACTTAAAAGACTGGTAAAGAGTTTGAAACTACAGGCTTTTTCCCAACTACAAGAGACCACATGTCAAGCAGATCTTTCATCAAACAAACTTGAGTCCAAACTCGAAAACCACAAAAGAAACGAAAGTCTAGGGCCTAAGACAGCTGTTAATAAATACCACAGAAAGTCATTTGGAACGAGAGCTACCTTATCGGGAAGCTGTTTTGTGTTCGATGGAAGCGGACATCAGCTCATTGAGTTGCCACATTCATCCGTGCTTGAAATGAATATCCCAGCTATATGTAATGCACCCTGTCCGAGGCCTACGAAGCACGATTTCAAAACTGGACAAGCCGTGTTTTCGCTCCATCGTCTCACTACTGGCAAGCATCAACCGGGGTTGATCTGCACATGCGTCTGTGCTGTTTTACGCACACTTACGGCCATTTGAGCTCTATTTTTTGCTCTATTTTTTGCTATTGATCTCTATTTGAGATCTATCCCGTCTGTGGGGAGAACGGGGCTGCAGTCTCAGCGGGCCGCGGGGAAGCTGCGTCCGTGGGGACGTCACAGCTCTCGCGCGGCCCATCTCGAGTGTCCCGGCAACTCTGCACTTGAATCACATCGATCAAAATGTATTTCACTGAACTTTATACGCACTTGGTGCTGACGCCACCCTAACCCGGTCTCGAGTGCCAGGAGTTCGGTCTGCAGAATGCACCGGGTGTAGATGTGTGGCCCGCACTCACCCGGTCTCGAGTGCCGTGAACTTGGTCGGCAGAATGCACTGGGTGTAGATGTGTGAGCCATACTCACCCGGTCTCGAGTGCCAGGAGCTTGGTCTGCAGAATGCACTGGGTGTAGATGTGTGACCATCGGTGGCCCTCCGCTACCAGCAGTCCCAGAAGATTGGCCAGCTCGGACAGATCATCGCTGGATAGCTCCACTCTGCGGGCGACACGCAGAGAGCGACAGGTAAGCATGTGTGTGCTGTAATGGTCGAGTCGGACCCCACGTTCAGTACCCGTCCACTGCGATCGTTGTGTGTGCTAGGAGTTGACGAGAAGGATATGGCGACGTCTCGCAACGAGGCGCTATGATGCAAGGGCTTTCCTCGTCATGCGGCTAAATTGCTCTTGCTAAATTTATGCACACCTCTATTGTACGTCACCAGATGCCGCTTCTAGAGAACAAAGATGCAGTATAAATGCCAATTATGTGCTTCATATCCGTTTTTATATAACATCTGACCCGGGGCGCTCGGCTCCCGTGAATTGCCATCAGCCGCATTGAGTTGTTGACTTGAGTCCCGTTGAGTTGAATTGAGAGTTTGGTGAGCTTTCGTCACCTCTTACCTCTTTAGGTCCTCGTCCTTGGCAAAGTTGGACACGCACCGCCCGAACGCGCCATCTGCGAAAACGAGATGCCAATTACAAGACCGGCCCGCCTTTGAGCGGCGCGGCGGTAAATGCATTCATTATCAACTCATTTATTTTCATTTACACAGGCGGCCCGAAAGCCTCAACGTTATTGCATTCCTCTGGGCGGGGGCACGATAATTTACCAAGAGTCGTTCCTGAAACGGAGAGCCAGCCGGTGGCTGGCTCCGAAGCCCGAGACGCTGTTGCCTGTCAGCTGCCTGCTCGTGAGGTCAGGGGTGTTAGGGACGCCTCTCCTTCGCGAATCTAGCGGCAGCATGGTATGTATTCTGGTCCTGTTGAAACGTGACGTTAATGGCCCGTTTACTGGCCGCCGCCGCCAAACGTTGTTAACTTCCCCCAGGAGTCGTGCTGCCTCAGCAGGGGCAGCGGCATCGGCTCCACGTTCGGAGCCGGGGGCCGCGAGCCTTCAAGCGCGGGTGGCAGGGCTGGCGACTTCCAGTGACCCACCCGCTGCAGGTGGTAGCGTCTGGTTGTTCCGCGAGCTCTCGGCACATTGACACCATGGCGAGAGTGTTCACAATTGAACCTGCGTGGCGGCTTACATGCGCTCCACTGGCCACGGCCACGGAGATGTACAATACCCGGCCTGTGCTGTAAAAGCAGCACTCGTGATATTTCTGTAAGGACAACAATGCAGACCTCAAACAACTTTTGTTATCAATTGAAGTATTCTGAGTTCACGCAGTGCCCGCCTTTCCTTCCAGAATGAGAGGAGACAGGCGACGTAATAAAGCCTGAGATCCCCAGTACGTCAAAAAAACCTATGACAGCAGGTAATTTGAATAAGTAAGCAAACTGCAATCGACCGGAACGTATTTGCGCAGACTTCAAAACTGGAGTTTTGTCATTGCAATTGCCTGAGGGTTGTACACGTTTGAAGTTCGTTCCGGTTCGGTTGCCTCCCACAAACTCGCGCGAAGTTGACCGTCTGACATCCTCAGCGCTCTCGCGGAATCGGCCCGCCCGCGCCTACCCTTTAACTCCTGCGTCGCGACGCAGCCGGAGGAGGGAGGGGGGGGGGGGCCGGGGGGGGGAGGCGGTCGCCACACGGGACCAGCGCGGAACTGCCGGCGGCCAGTGCCTGCGTCACAACGCGGGTATGCATCGATTTCGCGACCAGACAACCGAAGACGTCCCGCCGCCGAATGGTCGTTAAGTGCATTGTCGCGTGCTCCAGTGGGTGCTAGGTGGCGCGCTAACGACCCCCCGGCGTCGAGCTGCGGCTTGTATTTCGCGGCGCGAGGACTGTGAGCATCGCAGCCACCGACAGCCGGCGGGCCGACAAAGACCAGACGAGCTCTGCCGCCGGGCGCCGCCACGCAGGCAGACGGCGCCCCGTCCCTGCGAATGGGCTTCCTGTTTAGCGGCCAGGTCAATACGCCGCCGGGCAGGCGCGGCTTTCAGGGATGCCCCGCCACCTCGGACGTCAGCAGAACCTTTCAAGAGTGCCGCGTCGTCGCCCTGGCAACAGTCTTTCAGTACTGCAGCGCCGTCTCCAGGGTCAGCATCCCGTCTTGCGCCAGCATACGGGTGGCGGCGATGGAGCTTTATTGCTGTAGTGTATTGGGAAGTTGTTGGTTGTAAGATATGCTAACCCATGCTGGAGAGAACCAAATGTCCCAAGTGAAAGCTCAGAATCATGAAAGCTAGTGACTCGTTTTCCTGCGTGGGAAAAGGCCTACCTCTAATAGGTAACGCCTTCGACAAGCTCAATGACAATGCATTGGTCGCCGTAGGTACAGCCGTGCGGTATAAGGTGAACGTGGCTCTGGTTGGGTCGGGGCCACTGGCCCTTGGAGCACTCCCCCAACTGGGACGGGGGGAGGGTGGCACCGGGAAGTGCTTCTCTGGACACGTGTAGTTCGGGTAAATAGTGGTCAGTGCCGAAGCCCACTAACAGCTCTGCACAGTGCTGAGACAGATCTCTGACCATTTCCAGACTGGAGGCCAGTGAAGCGTTTGAAGCGGTCAAGTCGGTCTGTGAGAACCTAGCAGTTGGCACAGCCCGTGCCATTTCACTGCAGATAGAGACGTCTGCAAGTGCTCATGAAATATTCGCGGACTCGCTCCACACTACGTGGCAATACCCTCTGCAAAGCCATCCCGCTGTCGGTCTCGATGAATCGCTCTACATCTCAACCACGCCGAACTAGGCCTTTGGCCGCCCTGGACGTCAAGCTCCCTTTCCGGCTGCGCTGACTGTTGCTGGCAGCTCGGGCCTCTCTGCAGCCCGCCCGTGGGAGAGCACTCAGCTGACGCCAGCGCCTCGGGCGACGTGGCCGGGTCAGAGGCGTGATCTCCGGATGGAGTTGACAGCCGTGAGCGTGAGTACCCCTCATGTGTTGCTGGAACCCTCTTTTGTTTCGAAGCCGCTTTAGGTGGTTAAAGCACAGACAAAGTTCTATCTGCCCAAGAGTTCCTTGGGTCCGACTCCTGACCCAGTGACCTATAGCGTGACGCCTTTGCTGACGCCAAATGGTGGTGACGGCGCGACCGGCACCTGATACCGGCGACGGCGGGGCTGACACCTGACACCGACGACGAAAGGAACGGCAGAGAGACGTTGTTGTTATGAGGAAAGGCAGGGAGGCCGCGGGCGGGGCCTTGCAGCACGGTAGACTTCGCCCACTTTCGGAGCTGCAGCAAAGCAAACTCCGCCCACCGGTCGGCCTGCGTATCACAGCTGACTCTGTTCAGACTAAAAGCTGAATCTTCAAGCTTCCCACAGCAAACTCCATTCATTGGCCCACCTGCAGCATTGCAGACCCCTCCCATTTCCGGAGCTGCTGCACTTCAAGCTCTCCTCGCTTCCAGAGCCGCTTGTAGAAGACTGAGCCCATATCCGGCTAACTCTGCCAGACGGTGCACCTTCTCCAATCGAAAATACGCCTGCTGGTGGACCCGTACAATTCCTTTCTGTTTGCGCGTCAACGATGGTGCCCCTCCCCGCTTCCCGGACCATGCTCGTGCCTCGCAGGTGCCAGCGATCGGTGAGCCGGCAATGCTCCGGGAGCCTCCCAGCGGCTTCGACCGCCGTCCGCGCTGGGCCGCAGGCGGAGCACCGGAGGAGTCTACACCCGCATGATGTGCTCCCGTCCGACACGCGATCGGAACAAGGTGAAATCAGTCCGGACCCAAGGCCGACTCAATCGATACTCCTGGCTGGCGGTGGCGACGCGGTCCTGGTGGCGCCGCCTGGCGTCGAGCCGGCCCCCTCCCCTCCCCCCCAGTGGTGGGGCGGGCGCTGCCGAGGGCACGGGTGTAGTTTGCTTTTCAGTTGGGGGGAGGGGCTCTAGCCCCTGACCTCTTCCCCACTTGAGTACAAGCCCCCCCCCCCCCCCCCACCATCCCTCACTTCTCAAATTTGAGGAGAAAGTGTGCCAAATCCGGTGTGAAACACATTTGTTGGCGTATTTTGGGGCAAGTTTCGTCAAGGTTCACTGTCCAGCCCCTCTCCCTGGCTCATTTTGCGGAACTACGCCGCTGGCCGAGAGTGTACTGGGCCCCGGGTCTGGCGGTGAGACATTTTATTGGCGCCATTGCACTGTCGTATGCGTACGCGTGCTGAAACAGTGGTCATGATGGGTGTCGTGGTTCTAAGCATCCAACGGTGCCTTTATAAACGCTCATTTTTATAAGTTTTATAAAGACCACAGTTATAATGACCTTCTTTGACATCTAGCAACCTATCTTTACAAAGCCGGTTGGACTTAGGGTCGCTCAGGGGAAGTCTTGAGAGACGCATGTACGGTCTGAACGTCCCAGACAGCCGATGGTCATAGTCAAACACATCTCAGGCATGAAGAATTCGGCGTCTAAGCCTTGTTCGGAAAGAAATGCGGGGATTCATTACGTTACATACCGAAGTACTTCAAAATCCTCAGAAATTGGTTATAGAAAGCTGAACGGGCCTTCAGCACTTTTTACTTAAAAGCTGAGAATTCGCCCACATCCAACGACACAATGGTCCGAGCAGCCGGTGCCTGGTGCTTCGCTGGGCTTCGGCGCTGATGCGAATGGGTAAATCGGTTTGCTTTACGGTCGCGTGGCTTGCGCGACAAAAACACTTTTGATCTGATACAAATGATGGCTATATGTTAGTAGCAAAAAGCACCTTCATAAATGTTCTCCATGGGTCCGCGGGCAAGTGTGTTTTTGTGTCTTTATTTTTATTTTGTGTCTTTATTTTGTTCACCCGATCTTATTTGTCGTCATAGCTGCTACTAGATGTATATCACCATGCTTCTGCCGTGGAATTCCTGGCTGGCGCTACCGGGACTAATTGGGCGCACATATTCCATGCATTAGCGGCTGATTTATGTGTAACAATTGTGAATTATTGCCCGATAGCTGTTTCGTTCCTCGTAGCCTTCAGGTTAATCGGCAGGGCGGACTTTTTGAACTCGCCTTCGTCACAATACATCTACCACCATTTTAATTTGTTCCTGAAGTAGAGCCATTCGTGGCCTCTACCGGGTTCATCGACCGCTCGAGCTGCATTGCTGCGGAGGCATAGTAAACTTAATGATGTGCCAAGCTGTCCGGAACGTTTCCAGGGTGCGTTATAGCGTTTTCGAGCTTGGCGACCACGGCTACCAACGGCAGGAAAACTCCATACAGTGCTTGTTAGCCTATCAATTATATTATCTACTTATTTACAAATCAGCTTATTCAGAATTGATGACTACTGCGACTAGAGCGCAGCGTCCTTCCGTCCTTGTGTTGCGCGGCTTGAAGTATGTGTTTTTATGTGAAACATGGGGAAGTCGGCCAAATTCCAGAGCAAAGCTCAGCATGTACCTGCACCACCCTCTCCCGCCCGTGTCCAGAGCGCCGCTGCTCGCCTGTCGTTCCTGCCCGTGCTGCCGGGCAGAGCAGGGGAGGTGCTCCCCTGCCCGCCGGCCGCCGCTCTGCCGCGGCCGGCGGCCGGCGCAGTCCCGCCACCGTCGTCAGCGCTGACCGCCCCGG